TCACTCACACTCACTCACTCACACTCACTCACTCACTCACTCACACTCACTCACTCACACTCACTCACTCACTCACTCACACTCACTCACTCACACTCACTCACTCACTCACTCACTCACACTCACTCACTCACACTCACTCACTCACACTCACTCACTCACTCACTCACTCACTCACTCACTCACACTCACTCACTCACACTCACACTCACTCACTCACACTCACTCACTCACACTCACTCACTCACACTCACTCACTCACACTCACTCACTCACACTCACTCACTCACACTCACTCACTCACACTCACTCACTCACTCACTCACTCACACTCACACTCACCACTCACTTCACTCACACTCACTCACTCACAACTCACTCACTCACACTCACTCACTCACACTCACTCACTCACACTCACTCCACTCACACTCACTCACTCACACACTCACTCACTCACACTCACTCACTCACACTCACTCACTCACACTCACTCACTCACACTCACTCACTCACTCACACTCACACTCACTCACTCTCACACTCACTCACTCACACTCACTCACTCACTCACTCACTCACACTCACTCACTCACACTCACTCACTCACACTCACTCACTCACACTCACTCACTCACACTCACACTCACACTCATCACTCACACTCACTCACTCACACTCACTCACTCCACACTCACTCACTCACACTCACTCACTCACTCACTCACACTCACTCACTCACACTCACTCACTCACACTCACTCACCCACTCACTCACTCACACTCACACTCACACTCACTCACTCACACTCACTCACTCACACTCACTCACTCACACTCACTCACTCACACTCACTCACTCACACTTCACTCACTCACACTCACTCACTCACACTCACTCACTCACACTCACTCACTCACACTCACTCACTCACACTCACTCACTCACACTCAACTCACTCACACTCACTCACTCACACTCACTCACTCACACTCACTCACACTCACTCACTCACACTCACTCACACTCACTCACTTCACTCACTCACACTCACTCACTCACACTCACTCACTCACACTCACTCACTCACACTCACTCACTCACACTCACTCACTCACTCACTCACTCACTCACTCACTCACACTCACTCACTCACACTCACTCACTCACTCACTCACACTCACTCACTCACACTCACTCACTCACACTCACTCACTCACTCACTCACTCACTCACACTCACACTCACTCTCACACTCACTCACTCACACTCACTCACTCACACTCACTCACTCACACTCACTCACTCACACTCACTCACTCACACTCAACTCACTTCACACTCACTCACTCACACTCACTCACTCACACTCACTCACTCACACTCACTCACTCACTCACTCACTCACACTCACTCACTCACACTCACTCACTCACACTCACTCACTCACTCTCACTCACTCACACTCTCACTCACTCACACTCACACTCACACTCACACTCACACTCACACTCACACTCACACCACTCACACTCACACTCACACTCACACTCACACTCACACTCACTCACTCACTCACTCACTCACTCACTCACTCACTCACTCACTCACTCACTCACTCACACTCTCACTTATATATATATCTTTAATTCCTTGTCGTGTTGCACCTATATATGTCAGAGAAGAGTCAATAGTGTGATCTCCTGGTACATTAGTTTTCCTCACCCATTTGATCCTCAAGATAGAACTCAACTTTTTCACATATTAGAAATTAGCATAAACAAAGGTTCATGAGTTGAAAAAAGTACTCTTTAGCCCGACCCAATTAGCATTCATTAAATAGACAAGCATATACACATGGATAAAAGCATGTCTGTCAGTTTAGACTTGTATATCTACTGGATAGATAGATAGATGAATGTATATCTATCAGATAGATACAGATATGCATTTATTGCTGCCCATGTGTATGCCCTATATAGGAATCTTCATTGGGTCGGGCCTCACAATTTTTAACAAACTGGCCGTAGGTCAGGCGTATATATATCTATCACACACACACACAGCCAACAGCATATTTGCTATCTTAGTTTTCTTGTTTTTGTTAAGAAAGAAATAGCTTCCTACGCTTTTACTTCAACCATATGGCCTTAATAAGATGTGGTTTTCATCTAATCATCAGGTCCGCATACTGTTAAATTAATGGTTAGAGGCGAAATTAATGTGCTAGACACCGAAGGTCATGATTCATTCTAGGAGGTACAGCATCGGAAAGGGTAAAGATGGGGATGAGTTATACGTCAGCGGTGTGTAGTAGTAGGATGGTATTTGAAGGGTGTATGTAGTTGGGTAGAGGTGGAGGGGGCGAGTGGTGCCCATATACTGCATAAGGGGGTATGTGGTCCCCAGTGGTAAATGAGTTAGCCCAGAGTAATTTTTTTCAATTTCGTGATCAATCAGTTACAAATTTAAATGTTTGAATATATATTTACTACCCAAGTAACATTCTTCATTTTTTGAATTTTATTTTATTTTGCGGAGGAGGGGTTTTTATTGCTCTGTTTACTATAATAAATAGGTTTCAGACAAAATATCTTCAATCACAAAAGAAATTGTATTTTGTAAGTGCAACAGATAGACATGTTTTTTGGTTTAATATATTTTCTTGCTTCTTGTCTATGGTTGTCTTTTCTGAATGAGGGCAAAGTTTCTCTCCATACTTTTGCATAAATGTACTAAAGATGTACAGGTTTCAATTTTTCTCCCTTCAAATGCAAAATCTGAGCTAAATTAACCCAAATCTTTGATATAAATGGCAACACTATTCAATAAAGATGAATCAACACAAGCCTTATTAGTAAAAACAAAAACAAAAATAACTTGCTATATATTACCCATCTAAATATTTTGCATCATCAAATAACTAAAAGAAAAAAGATAAGGATTCAAATATCTATTTAGTTTCTCTACATTTCCTTTTACATTTTTTTTCATTAGGTTCACACATCTAAGAAGGGTATAAAGAAAGCCAATCTTAAAAAATCTTATTTATTTGATAGGTTGTGGAACTGCACAGCTGTCATTTTTTAGTGCCAATCAAAGAGATTCTCACGTAATAAAAAGTAGATATAAAGGTTGTTGGTCCTATATGCTCTTTACAAAAAAAAAAAAGGGGAAATGTACAAAATATTTGTACTGGACATCATACCATGCAATTTCACTTATACAGCCAAACTGCTACTTGTAGTTAACTCTACATTTACCTGTATGGTCGCGGCCATAATGTATTCTTCTCCTGGATTTTAATACCACAAATACAAGTAATTCCTCAATTCTTGGGGATGCCGCAGAATCAGCCTCCACAAAACTTCCAAGTTGCCAGCAGCCTGACCATGAAGTAATATAACAAATAATTTAATACATTTAAGGAATAGCATCACTAAACCCTTCGCCGAGCTTCTGGTTGGTTAAGCTCACTGCTAAGACATTGGTTAATCTCCAAGAAACACCAACCAAGAAACTTCACTTCCACACACCGTGACGCTCAGCCGGACCCAACGTCTCAGCGGGGGCGTCCCTAAAAGTGGCTCCTATCATGTTTCATCACCAAGACAATAATGATACAGCAACTCACAAGCAAAACACTGATACAAAATTTTCTTACATATAGGACAATATCATTAATCATCTTACTTAACTGTAAATCATAATATTCTCTGCCACCAACACTAGTTGCTCCCTGATAACAACTGTACTGCCAATATGTATGTATGTAGTATTTATGAACATATATATGTGCGCGTGTGCATGAGCATGTGTGTGTGTGTGAGTGAGAGAAGAGTTGGTGTGCACACAACTGTGAGAGAGTACTAGTGCTTGCACTTGTACCCCACTTCTTTACTTTGTATATATCTGGTCATCAAAGAACAACTTGTGGCGATTTTGTTTATCTAAATCATTAATGCATTACTATGTTAACCCAAACACTAACCTAGGTACAGTAATTAAATATAAGACCACTGAATGTACATAGAAAAAAATATATATTTTGTTCAATGTCATCAATATCTCCTGATGGCACTGTGTACATGGTCAATCACTCAGCCAATTTCTAGCAAACATCTGAAGAATTCAATGCAGCTTTTAGTTAAATAAAATATTGAATTCCAAAGAATAAAACGCCCAGCCTTTTGAAACAACCTGAGTGGATCAGTTGTCCTTTAAACCGAGAAGCCAGTGATTAATAAGAACACTATTTCAACACAAAAGTGCCTGGTTCTTTCAGCTAGCCTGTGTAGGAATTAGTCCAGAATCCTGTCATATTACAGTATCTATAAGATACAACTATTAACCCCATTCAGTTTTACATCATCGGCTTACACGTAAATTTTGTAAGGACTACACTGCTGTTAAAATATTTTTGGAATACTTCACATTTAACCTCTGGACACTTGTGCAAACATTTCAAAAATAGAAACACTTTTGGGGTGTCGTAACTGATAGCACAGAATACTCGCAAGTACCTGAAATTTTGGGTTTCTCTCTTTTTGCTCTGAATATGTCCCGCTTGATCAATCTTGTCCCAAAATGGTAAAATGGGGAGGGGGAGGGGGAGATTTTTGTTTTTGTTTTTGCTTTTGCTTTGTTTATATAAAAAAGTGAATACAAGTACACTAGGATCCCTGTACACTGCAGACACTCATTCTGGCTCTACAGGTGGAAGGAGCTTCGTCAGACCTCAGTAACGTGTACGTTTCAGGTCAAAGTCCTCAGCGGCAGGCTCTCTCTTGACACCACCTTGTTGCGGATACTCGTTGCTGCGTGCTGCAGGGTACCTGTCCTCTGGTGTGCTAGGTGGGTATCTTTCACTGGGTGGCCCTTGGCTGTACCTGTCCTCGCTGGAAATTGGTGGTGCTTGTTGTTGATATCTTTCATTTGGACGAGCACTTCCGTGGTAGTCAGAGTAACGGTTCTCCTGCGAGCCTCCCATGTAGCGGTCCTGAAAAGATTATATAACATGAAAGTCTATATACATTATATATGCATATATATATATATATATATATATATATATATATATATATATATATATATATATATATACATATATATATAAATATATAATATATATACATATATATATATATACACATATACACATACATATATATATATACATTATACATAATACATAATCATTATACATACCCATACATACATTATACATACCCATACATACATTATACATACCTATACATACATATATTATATACATACATTATATATAACATACATACATATATATACCTACATACATATACTATACATACTATATAACCTATACATACATATATATACCTATACATACATATATATACCTATACATACATATACTATACATATATATATACCTATACATACCATATACATATATATACCTATACATACATATATATACCTATACATACATATATATATACCTATATACATACATATATATATACCTATACATACATATATATACCTATAGCATACATATATATTATATATATATATAATATATATATATATATATATATAATATCTACCTATAGCATATATATAGTATAATCATATATACATTATATATAACAATCTAAAGTGAGTATGGTCACATATAATTGGACCATAATGTGCATATATAGTAGATATATAGATCGAATGAATATATATATCATATTAGTGAATACTGTATAGATATAATGACATATCCTATTATACCCATATATATGAGACGTTAGTAGTACTAGTAATTGTGTATACGTGTGACAATATTATTGATTATTAGCGAGGTAAGTCAGGATCATTGCATATATTCGTAGTTACCATATGTATTAGTTATAGGTGAGTATAGTTATTATAGCGAAGTAGCTTACAGGAGGTAGTTACCCAGGTTGGATATTAATTGAGATATGATTAATACTAGTAACATTAAGTAGGTCTAAAGAATAGTAAGGGATATAATAAAGTTGGGTACGCAGGATACTAATGCTGCGTTATGGTACTCGCGTAGTAGGTACTAGGTAGTCTATGTAGATATAATTGACTTAGATATATGAGGGTAGTAGTATAACTATTATTTGCTGTTGGATAAAAAAATTGTTGTAAACAGTTTTAATAAAAATAAAAAAATCAAGAGGTGAAAGGTTTAATTCTAGAGGTCGCGTAACTCGTATAATAACTATATATATAATGTAATAGGGGGTATATATATATATATATATATATAATATATATTATATAGTATTATATGGTTAGGCGATCAGGATTAGTGGTACAGTATAGAATGTAGATGTTATAGGGGTATAGTAATAGGCGCCTATTGTATGTATAAGGTGGGGCTCTGTGGATACGTATTTATAATGTATGGGTGTATGAATTGTGGTATAATAGATATGCTTATATAGTGATTATAGAATATATAATATACTAGATATAGATATATACAATACGCTATACAGTAGCCTATTACATATATATAGTAAGTTATACCCTAGATACCAATTGTATATTATAGGTTATAAATATACCGTATTACAGTAATATAGTATATGTATATAGTATATATACTCCTATACATGTATAGTAAGGCTATACTACTATATATATCCTATACATGGTATAGAGTACTTGTAATATATACTATAACATGTAGTACTATATATATCGTATATAATACTACCTATTACATGTATAATATATAATATACTAACGTATAACATGTAATATAGTATATATATATAGTGCACTATTACATGTATAGTATATTAATATAATCTACCTAAACTTAACTTGTATATATCAATAGTTAGATATATGGCTAATGCCGCTGGGTTATATAGCCATGTATAGATTAGTATATATATAGCTTATAGCATAATTATAACTATCTACTATGTACTATATATTATTATAGAGGTATCAATTTAGTCATATAGTATATTAGTCATATTGGTATAAGTAGCGGCAGTCACTACTACGTGCGCCTATTCACAGTGGTATATGATATTATATATCAGGGGTATAATATTACTAATACAATAATAGTAATATAATAATATATAATATAATATATATAGTATATATTACCTATTACATGTATATATGATACTATAAGCCTATACATTGTATATATTATATAATACTATATCCTATACATGTAATACTATTATACTAGTTATCCTATAACATGGTATATATATATGAATATAGCTCTATACATGTATGATAGTAATATATATATATAGTACCTATAAAACATGTGTATATATATAGCTAGAGGTAGATAACGGGAAGCATCATACATGTATATCGATATAACTAGTAATAGACTACTAGTATACCGTGATACATGTATATATAGTATATGATTACCTGTACCCTATATGCAATGGTATTTTATAGTGAGATTAATATACAAGTATAAGATATATGGATTTGATAAAGATACGCTATTGATGTAAATATATATATATACCGCAGTATACATGTAGTAGTATGTAGTTACATTCCTATAGCGCGATGTATATATAGGTACGATACTCTATACACTCGGTTATAGGCTTATAAACTTTTGACATACCTATCCATGTATATATTCAATATAGTCATATACTATAGTTAATATATGTATCATAACATAGTACAGCCTATACATATATAATAATAAGGTACCTATAGACATAGTATCATAGTATAGCCCACTATACATGATATACATAATAGATAGCACTAGTTACATATATATCATGGTACTAACTCAAGCTATACAGTATATAGTATTATAGGTAATAGGCTCGAGGCACTAAGATACTCATGAATATATTAGGACCCAGTAACAATATAGTATTATAAATAGCCTATACATATATTATATATAAGCGCTATAGCATATATAGAGTATATTCTAACGTTATACAGGATATAGAGTAGCTAGTATAGCTCATCACTATGATATAAGTATCATTTTATATAGCCTATACTCATACATATTATTAGATTACTCTCTACATAATAATAAATATAATAAATGACCCCTAACATAAACATATAATACTATATAAGCCATAACATACATAATACTAGCGTGATATATAAAGAAGCTCCTAACATACAATAGATTATATGTAGGCTGGAATATGAGCCTATAGCAACTAGGCACTATAGTTAGTTATAGATATAGGAGAATTGGCGCCGTATAAATTACTGATATAAGGTATATGCCTATAACAAATACATATAGTATAGTGTGGGCATAGTAGTAGTAGTAGTAACTGAACATATATTATAGTACGGCCTACTACGATTATCATATATACTAACATAATATATATATTATATAGTAGTAGTGATATTAGTTGAGTATAGTATATGTATAGTATATATGCCGTATAATATATATACTACGCCTACCTATAAATATAATATAAAGAGATATAATTGCCTATCGCATAATACGTATGTATAGGTCGGAGTAGCGTATTTAGGCATTAGTAGTGTATAGGATAATTTCATAGATAACATATATATAGTAAGTACCTTAAATATCCATGAATTAGATACCTATATCATATTAATAGGTGATTCCTATAACATATATATATATACCTATAACATTATATATATATACCTATACATATTATATATGTCTATATACTATATACCTATTACATTACTATTAGATACTATAATATTCAATTAGGTAATTAAAGTATATGAGTGAGTTTGAGGTAGTGATTTGATTTGCAGCGGGTATATACTATATGATTTATAGTATACAGTATAGCGTTAGCATATAGGGTATATTACAGTATACGCAGTATACATACAGTATTAGTACTTATAGGTAGGTATATGTATATATATATAATATATATATATACATATACATATATAACTATATTATATATATATAGTAATATATATCATCATGATTAGGTATATTACTGATAGTCGTGAGAGGTCCCTAATACATATGTATAGGAATATATACATAATATATATACCTATAAGATGATATATATATAATATATATATAGCTATACGTATTAAATATAAGATATACAGTTATATATATACCTTGATACCACTATAATAATATAGTATAGCATATAGTATATATTAGCATAGTTGATCTATAGCGTAACATATATATAAATCATTATATAAAAATACAGCATATATATATATAGATATACATATATATATTATATAAGTCACATATAGTATTATAAGGCATATTAATATAGCATATTTACTAGTATATGGCTACAGTATACATAAGTATATACCCGTTAGCATATGATTACTATGCCATGATATAGGTATAAATCGGGTACATATACCATACTATATACGTTAGCCAAATATATTTATTATACATATATAAATACATTATATATATCATATAACATGTAACTCAAACGTACCATTATTCAATGTATATTAAAAATGATATAATGAGTCATTGAGTAGCATTATAAGTCTATCTTATTCTGATCTATTCTATCTATATTATTATATACGTAGTATATTAGTATGATAGTATCATAGAAGTACTATATGGTATCATGATGGTATATTACACTGATATATATTATCCTATATATGACTAGTAAAGTAGATACTCCTCTACATATATATATATGAGGGTATACATATTACATGATATATAATACTTATTCCCAGTATGTCGCTGTATACATATATAATGATATCTATACTGTAGGGCTTCTAATATCATTATTATATGGTATAATAGTTATAGTAACCTATACATATAGATATAGCCTGTCGTATACATATATAAAGACCTATTAAATGACATATATATATAACGGAGAGATTTTATTATATTAAGATTAGTAACTATATAGGACCAAGGGCGCACGGCATGACACTAGCGACTCAGTATACATATACCTACTATCTATATGCAATAGCGGTATATACCAGATAATA